AGTTGACAGTAGCTTACTTTTTTTTTTTTTTTTTGCACATTTATGTTTTGCTTTATATTTTTGTCATTTTGCTGCCTGTCATGTGTACAGGCACTTTTTGATTCAGTTGATTTTAATAAATTCAGCAGCAATAATGTCTCAAGCACATCGCATGTATGTGATCTGTTTTTCAGCTGCATTCAGTGTGGGATTTGACTGCTTGATTCATAGATTAAATAGACTATTGGATCACTTATACAGACTGTATTTTGACTGTTGGTCTAAAGTGTGTTTCTTCTCAGTCTGGAGATGCTGGATAAGGTGGAGCCGCCCTCCATCCCTGAAGGTTACGCCATGTCTGTGGCGTTCAGCGCCCTGCTGGATCTGGTGAGGGGAATCACCTCCATGATCGAGAGAGGACTCAACAAACAGGAACAGGAAGCCGCCATGAGGGAGGAGGCGGAGCCTGTTAGTCCTCCACAGAGTGACAGCCTCCCTCAGGATCCCAGTGAGTTCATGCCGACGTCACATTGGTTTGTTTGTGTGCACTCGAAGACAGCGCTCTGACATTATCATCTCTCCAGATGTCTTTCAATCTCTCAGCCTGAAGTATTTTTAATACTCTATGCTGACCTCTGGCTGTGACACAGGAACACAACAATATACTGCCAAACCAGTGTGTTGTAACTTTATATAACGTGGTGTTATATATAATATAATATGTAATATATAGTACGTGTTATGCTTTGCAATAAGGTTCCATTTGTTAGCATTAGTTAACATGAACTAACAATGAAAATACTTATTTAATATCAGTTAATATTTATTTTAACATTTCATAATGCATTATTAAAATCCAAATGTATGTGTAATTAATTATTGGACCTGAGCTAACATTGAACAGTTGTATTAATTAATTTTTATTAATAATTGATACTTTTATTAACATTTACAAATGTATTGATCATTGTTAGTTAGTGGTAGTTAATGCATTAATTAACGTAAACTAATGGACCTTTTTGTAAAGTGTTGCCCGTTTAACAAATGCAATGCAAGTGAAAAAAATACATTCTGTGGTAATCTAACATATAATTCATAATGTTAACAGAAAATACAATACATTTTACAAAAAAATCTAATCATATATATAAACAAAAAATGTAATAAATTTTACAAATAAATCTAGTCTAATATAATATAATATAATATATAAACAGAAAATACAATCAATTTTCCAGATAATTCTGATCTAATCTAATAAATCTAATCTAATATAATATATAAACAGAAAATACAATACATTTTACAAGAAATTCTAGTCTAATATATAAATGGAAAATATAATACATTTTACAAATATAATATAACATAATATAGAAATGGAAAATACAATACATTTTACAAGAAATTCTAGTCTAATATATAAATGGAAAATATAATACATTTTACAAATATAATATAATATAGAAATGGAAAATACAATAAATTTTACAAAAAAAAACTAATCTAATATATAAACAGAAAATAATAAATTTTACAAATAAATCTAATCTAATAATATATCAACAGTAACATATAATTCTAACAATCTAATTCAATTTAATCTAAAATAATATGACAATATAATAAAATCTATAATATAATAAATCTTACAAATATAATATATAAACAATAATATACAATGGATTTTTCAAATTAATCTAATATAATATAATAAAATGTATAATATAATCAGTAACAATATATTTTACAATTATGAAATATAATATAATATAATATATAAACAGTAACATACAATAATTTTTACAAATTAAATCTAATCTAAAACACTTTATTTTAGTGTGCTGTTGTTACATGTACTTACTATAGTAAGAGTTAACTATGTATAATTATAAGCAACTAACATTATAACAAGAAGTACATCATAACAACAGCACATTTAATTAAAGTGTGACCAAATATAGTATAATATAAAGATAAAATGATGCATCTGAATGATGCTTCAGTGTGCAAGTCATATAGTGGTTGGTATGTTTTATACTTGAGCTTTGATAATAATTCTGATAATTAAGCTCAAAGAATCCCATCTGGATTGATTTATAGGGAAATTACAAATTAAACAGTTATATAACGGTTCAGTCAGTAAATGTGATAAAAAAGCATGTTTAAAGAATATGTGACCCTGGAGCACAAAACCAGTCATAAGGGTAAATTTTTTGAAGCTGAGATTAATGCATCATCTGAAAGCTGAATAAATAGCTTTCCATTGATGTATGGTTTGTTAGGATAGGACAATATTTGGCTGAGATACAACTATTTGAAAATCTGGAATCTGAGGGTGCAAAAAAATCTAAATATTGAGAAAATCATCTTTAAAGTTGTTCAAATGAAGTTCTTAGCAATGCATATTACTAATCAAAAATTAAGTTTTGATATATTTACGGTAGGAAATGTACAAAATATCTTCATGGAACATGATCTTATCTTAATATCCTAATGATTTTTGGCATAAAAAAAAATCTATAATTTTGATCCATACAGTGTATTGTTGGCTATTGCTACAAATATACCCCAGCGACTTAACACTGCTTTTGTGCTCCAGGCTCACATATGTGCTGAATAGCAGGACACAGTCAGACACCAAATTAAGTGTGTTATACACCACACAGCCCTAACCTGCTGAGTATGAATCCGCATCAGTGACGTGTGTTTGTGGTGTAGCAGTGTTTTGTCCCTGTGTTGATGCCGTATGTGTGTTTGCAGTGGCTCATGAGGTTTGGGAGGAGATGGTGAACGCCTGCTGGTGCGGTCTGTTAGCGGCTCTTTCACTGCTGCTGGACGCTAGGTATGAAACTCTGTCTTTTTATATAACTATATACATAATCTTAATATATCACTATATGCTATTTCACATCTTAAGTGTTATTGTAATAGCTAAAGCTTTGTACTTGTGCTACAGTTCCTCTAGTTAGCATGTATTAGTCCTAGAGACTGAGTGCACTGATGATTTTTGACGTGTTTGTGTCAGTACTGATGAGACGGCTACAGAAAGCATCCTGAAAGCCGAGCTGTCCGTGGCGTCTCTGTGCGGTCGTCTGAGTTTGGTGACGCCGCGTGACGCTTTTATTACGGCTATCTGTAAAGCGTCTCTCCCTCCTCACTACGCCCTCACCGTCCTGAGCAACGCCGCCAACCTGTCCAATAAAGGTACGAGAGCAGTGCATGCTGACCTTCACTTCTTCCACCAAACAATGTAGCTCCTCAGAAACAGTTGTGGTTCCAACAAAGTGGTTGTTGAGCAACAGACAGACGTAAACAAAGGTGTATGTTACTTTGTAGAGTCATTTACAACAGCTTCGAACGTGGCTCAACCAATCAGAATCAAGGACCGCTTTATAATACAACTTATGACGAGCAGAAAAGTGGATAAATGTCCAAAAATAGAGTTTTGAAGGGCCAAAATCATTGAGCGCTTCTCCTAAGGTGCAGCTGTTGTGCTGGATTAACAATATCGATTGCTCATTTTTAATCGATCTTCATTTTGATGAACCGAGATCATTTCGTTTATGCATTTCAGTTGATGCATGAGCAAAACTTCACTAAACATTATTTACCTGCCATCAAATAATCACAGTAAGCTAAGAAACAAAGTCTCAGTTTTCAAATTCTCCCAAAATTCACAAAGCATGTAAAAAGTTGATGTAAAAACGGCCTTATGTGGCCGCCCTGCATCATATTTGCTGAATGAAATCCAATGCTTGTTTCTTACTAATTTTGAAGTGCTGATTACAAAAATAGTGCCTGTTTTGCTCGTCATGCTTTCTCAAAAAATATGATGCATTTTGTAGAGGTTTTTCTTTTGAAGTCTTGTATGATCCCTTAATCAGCGGAAAAACTGTACAAAGACATGATTCCTGAATCTGAGCCAGATTACGACTATCTGTTCAGTTCTCGGCCCATTTTCACACGTATTTTATGCCTAATCCTGATTTCAAGGTTAGAATTATAGCCAGTGACAGAAGAAAATGCAAACATGAGCCAGATGTTTCCTGCTACATCTATCTAAACAGCCACAGAAAATGACAGGTTTTGTGGAAAAAACAAACAAACAAATGGAGTATTTGAGCACATATTCCACTCCTTTGTATATTGTAATGTGCAATTTTATAATTTGATTTTATATATAAAAGCTTCAAAAACTTTTGACTGGCAGTGTATATATATATATATA